TGTTGGCAGAATGAGCAGAGAGTTCAGTTTTCGTCGCTTTCGCTCAACTTTCTTTGACCCTGCGCCGCTGTTGTCATCTGCTGCACGCGAATCGTCATCTCTCTCGAGTCGTTGTTCAGCTAGTTTCAGCTTTTCCTCGGCTTCTTTGATCACTCTCCGTTGTACTTTGGTGATGTTGCTGTCGTTCAAGTTGGCTTTCAAGCTGCTTGATCCGCTGCGGTGGCGATTAATCGTTTCCACCAGGGAGTCGTAAAAATATTTTACGCCTCCTGGTTTAATCTCGGCTCTCCAGAACTCCGCGAAACATGGTAGTAAAGGCACAGCCAAACTGATTCCAATTCCTCGGATGGATACTCCTACCAGCACTGAATGGCAGCGGCTAGCAAGTCCAGTCGACTTTTCTTAGCCACGAGACTCGCGTCGGACGGACTGCAGACTTCTGAAAGAATGCATGGTCATCAGCATTCGAATCTGGGCTTCGCACAGGTTGAACAAGAACTTGAATTCAGAATTATTTCATTGCGCCGTGCGATCGGAGCAGCTGCTTGTTCACTTCCTCATTGTGTAGGCTCGCTGCTCCGTTCCTGTGCTCTCTATCACTTTCAAACTCATGCAGTGCTAGAGTAGTAGAGAGGCCAAGCATGCAGCGCATTGTCCCCTCGGAGAAGTGTTATTTCAGTTTCGCTCGCCATGACTGTCTTCACCTATGTTACCACAGCGCAACCATCGATTCCGCTTGGCTTGTCGTGAAAGGTCGCTTTCCTTGCACCGTACCTCTTTCATGGCATGCCAGGGAAGGCTGAGAAAGTGATCGCGACTCATTTCATGGCAGTTTGTGCGCAAATTAGTACCTCAAAAATCCATCACGAAGTTTTTTGTTAACGGAGGAAGTAGGGTGTAATGTGTGTGTGCGGGGGCAGGGAAAGCCTTACGTAAATTAGAATACGATTCTGCCAGTCTTCCTGCTCGTCGTCGAAGATGAGATCATCATCCTTGCTCATGTCACACCGAACAGTCAGCCTGAGTTGCCTGCACACAGAATGGTGGATAGACAGTCGGGCATGGACATATGGACACACGTATACCAGGAGCAGTACATGTACACACGTATCCCAGGCATACTGATTGTGATTGACGCATCATAGCAATGCTAGAGCCATGAGCAAGATCGGATGTAGTTTTTTCTGTGGTCACACATACACGTCATATGCAAACAAGGACCAGTTGTCGTGATTATGCATGTATGACGAAGGCCAAACGAGCCAGTGGAGGGGAGCAGGCACACAAACCGTTCTCCCATCTATCACACACACATGCCCACCCTATATAGATATCTATTCCCGTAGCTATGCAAAAGACGTTACTTCAGTAACGTCTGGCGCTACCCAGGGTCCACACAGCTTTAATTCCGTGTTTGTGTGTGTTGTGCCGTCGGCATGCCTGGTGCTATCTCATATCGTACCATCAAAGGCAGCTGGCCAAAATATTCAAACAGGGCTTCAAATGCAAGATCATAACGTGAAGAAACTTGGAAGAATGAGTATGTATGCGAAGTGATCGGGGGAATGCATGCAGGGCAATAGTGCGGGTTCGAATCCTAGGTAACAGGACTGCCACTTGCTCCGATTTTTCGGAAATCATCCGATTTTTGATCGCCTGCCGGACAAACCGACCGATTTTGTTCCCAAAGAGGGACAACCGACTTTTTTTATTTGAGCGCTTTTTAGTCCAGTTGGCCATTCGGCGCTTCCAGGTCGCATTTGGCCGGTCATTTTACATGTACATGTACACGTGGCTGTAAAATGCACGCGTTCTTGCATGTGTATGGACAGTTAAAGATGTGTTCTGGGGCCCCAACAGCAAGCCATTTTCCTAAAATATTTTAACGGTGATACCCCGGACCCCCGTCAGATTTTTCTCCCTCCAAGTGTAGCAGCCCAGAGGTTATGTCTTGAAATAAATAGGAGAAACAACAATTTATAACACCCCTATGCTTTTTTGACTAGGTCATCAAGGTGGTAGACAGTGTCGTATTACCCTCGAATGCCAAGAGGAAGTTTATTTATTTCGCTCAGGGTCTTACGCTATGCTTTTTTGCCTAGCTCATCATGCATGTTATTCGAATAGACGGAATTTTTGCAATACAATAACATGCATGATGAGCTAGGCAAAAAAGCATAGCGTAGGACCCTGAGCTTCCAAGCTCTCTCTTTTGTTGTAAAATGATGTGTTGTTTTCCTGTGTGATGGCATTCCCCAAACTGTCTCGTCTAGTCGCGTGCATGTGTGATATGAGCATGCGCGATGTTGTAGTCGAGAGTCCTTTTGTCAGTCTTCTTGTTCGTCCCTTTGAGTGTTGTCTCCATTTCCGTAATGTCAATAATAATTATGTAAACCAAACTAGTCTTGTCCTTTGTGTCCTGCGTCCCGGGGAACGGAATGGCTGAGATTCCGTTACAACGTGGTGCCGAAACCCGGGACGCAGAGGATGAGTAAGTTTGTCATGAGTCTGTTCGTCGTCGTCAACAAATAATAGTAAGCGTGGGGTGGAGGTGATCAGGAGAGATGAGGAGCTGGTGGAAGCGGAAGACGACGCGGAGAGGAGGCAGAGAAGGTGGTGGACCGGCAGAAGCTGGGGACTGGAGCCTGGGACGGCAGGTACCGCATGGAGCGTGTGGCCGTGGCTCGCCAGAGGCCAGTGGATGAGTCTGGCATCACCGACTGTGTGTCGTCCTTTGTTGTTCGTCTTGTTGTTGTCTTGCTCGCTTAATTGTCTGATCATGTTTCTCTCGCTGTTCAGTTCGTTGCTGTGTTGTTGAGTTTGGTTGTCGGTATGTTGCTCTTCTCGTCGTTCTGTTCTGCATTAATTTGCGTTGTAGATTTATTTTGCGCTGCTGCGCGCAGGTTGTTATTTGTTGGAGCTTTGGCTCTCGTGTTTCGATTGGCCTTGTGTGCCTGAGTTGAGAGCGTCGGCTCTTGTGTCTTGGTTTGGCCCTGTGTCGTGGCCCAGTTTTGTTGTGCTACAATGTAAGCTGTTGGTTGGTTTTGGTTTTTTCTGTTTTGCTGTGGTTCCTTTTGCTGTTGTGCATGTGGAACGTGGTGTCGGTTTATTATTTTGTGGAATGTCATCAAGGGGGCAGGTGTTGTAAAATGATGTGTTGTTTTCCTGTGTGATGGCATTCCCCAAACTGTCTCGTCTAGTCGCGTGCATGTGTGATATGAGCATGCGCGATGTTGTAGTCGAGAGTCCTTTTGTCAGTCTTCTTGTTCGTCCCTTTGAGTGTTGTCTCCATTTCCGTAATGTCAATAATAATTATGTAAACCAAACTAGTCTTGTCCTTTGTGTCCTGCGTCCCGGGGAACGGAATGGCTGAGATTCCGTTACACTTTCCACACGCACAAACACACACACACACACACACACACACGAACAGGCGGTGATTTCACGTACCGAATGTTGTCTCCATTGGGTGTCCCACCGTTGTAAGTGAAGACTATTTGTGACGGGTTAGTTGCGATGACATTAAAGTTCACAGATGAAGTCTGTCCCAGACTGTAGATATCATTGGCACCAGCTTCCTGACAAGCCTACAGACAAAACAAATGTGATTATACGCATGGTATTATGTGCAGGCTTTATGAACTTGCATATCTGCTGGACTCTCATCATCTATGCCGGACTGCAGGTGTGCAAAAATTACAACTCAAATCTGCTTTCAGCAAGGCAGGATTCAATGGCCCTAAAACAGGTCGCGCAAGTCCACAGCTAACTTTCCTCCTTTCTCTATGGGCTAGTGATGCGCCCTGCTGAATTTATGACATCAGGCAGACGCATCAGAACAATGCAAAAAAACTAAAAAAGAAAACCCAGTCGCGTGGTTTGAAGCGGACTTTCGGGTGGCACTGGAGTCGGTACTGGCAAAGTCTGCAGAACTAACCTGGGACTTGCCGTGAACGAATCACACAACAGCTGGTGGTCTGGCCTGAAAGATCGAGTTTAGGCGTATGTGTATTGACGTTTAGTGTGCGGTTAAAGAATTAGGTGAGATGCTTCGGCGAAGTGGGGGCACAGCATTGCGCACTTGCAATAGCGGTAGCAACTCATGCTGCATACTGTGGAACCTGTCAAGGCGACCACTCGGATATGGCGACCACCTGTCCTGGAAGACCACTGAAACCAGGACCAAGGGATGCTATTTCCAGTAAAATGAACCTGGATAAGGAGACCGCCTGGTAGCAGAGACCACGTGTTGAAGGTCCCTTGAGCGGTCGTCTTAGACAGGTTTCACTGTACTTTGCGTCAGACAGCACTTCAGTGTCTTCCAGTAAACAAAATCACAGACAACACTTCCACTGCATACCTCGCTGATCATCCCATTGCTTTGTAACTTGCTAATCCCTACCCCTTTTGTAGACGTGCCTTTCTTTTCTTTTCTTTTTTTCTCTTTTTCCGTGGTTAGTCTCACCATCTCCTCAATTCAATTGGTTGCCTTGACATGCTACGAGGTGCAGAAATAAATAATTACCGTATTATCTCTAATATAAGCAAGGTCCTTTATTTTTTCAATGTACCTCCGCCCCGTGCTATTAATGGAGACGTTCCCTTATTGGAGACTGTTCCATTATTATTTCAACCTCATTTCAGAGGCATGTTGCCATGCCAAATTCATGTCAGACGCACACATTTCAGGTTTTTTTTCGCCCGTACAGATAATGAATTTGCACAGTGTGCTTATAATGGAGACTGAGCACTTTATTTTTTGAATGCCGCCCCAAGGTGTTCTATTATTGGAGACGTGCTATTATTGGAGACTGTGCTTATATTAGAGATAATACGGTAATAATAATGATAATATCGCCCACAAGCAAATACGCAGGGTTATATTCCTGTGTGGCGAATATTTAACTGCAGCTGTGCTAACGCTATGTGCGACTGTTTGCATACTTACTGCACTGTCCAGGGTGGGGCTGCACTCAGGTCCCAGGTTCAGCTCAGACGTGCACGGGTTGAAGTGGTATGAATATCCGTCTTTTCCGATGATACCGTTCTTCAGCCTGGCAGAGTGGGACAGGACAGCAGTCAAAAGATGTCCACATATACACACATACATGTACATATACACACATACATGTACACATCCACACACACACACCATGTACCATGTACCATGTATATACGCCCGCCGCAAGAGAAGCACGCAAATCTGCAAATGCACTGGATGTGCACCCACAGATTTTCTCTTTATAGCAACGATAGCAGATCTGATTCTGATTGAAACAGATCAAGACAAGCGCCAGATAACTGTCTAATCCACACAACTGGCGCAGCCATGTGAATCGACCCCCCAATGCACACCTGGTCTACAGCACACGGAGTACATCGGAATAGGACGGCCAAGACAGTTACCTATGCACACCCTACACTTGCTGGGGTAACCAGTATAGACAGCACGCTGCTTTGATAGAAGCAGACACTAGATGCACTGGTACTTTGAAGTGAAATTGGAGTTACTTTACCAACCAGCCTCGGCTACTGAGTACTGGGAACCCAGAGCTAACAGACATACCAACAACATCAGCCATGAAAGCTATTAACGACACACTGGGTTGTGGAGCCGAAACTAGTCCAACTTCCAAAATGCTTTGGCAAGAGGGTAGCCTTCCGACAGGTCGGAACACACATACACACACACACACACATACACACACACACACACACACACACACACACACACACACACGCACAGGCACACGTATACGACGTACATTGAGCCCCCTGCATGCAACACACCAACTCGCACACCCCCTTTCCTTTCTATACATGAACACGTGCGCATGCATCCGAACACACACACACACACACACACACACACACACACACACGCACACACACGCACACACACACACACACAAACACACACACAAACACACACACACACACACACATAATAAAGTCCCTACCCCCACCCCAGCACCCACATACAAATACACATGCAGCGTCCTTCTAAGTGATGTCATTGCTATTGTCCATCAAATTCAACCTCAATGAGTTGAATATCTTTGTAGTGACCGTTATTGGCATTGTTTTGAATCTGATGGATTTCATATTGATATACAAAATGCTGCTGCCAGTAAAGGGTTATTTAATTAAAGGCAATACAGAGCCAGGCAGTTCAGAGCCATGCACTTCAGAGCCAGGCAATACACGGCCAGGCACTACAGAGCCACGTAATACACATAACCAGGCAGTACAGAGCCAGGCAGCACGAGCCAAGTAATACAGAGAACCAGGCACAACAGAGCCAGGTAATACACGGCCAGGTAATACAGAGCCAGGCAGCATGGAGCCAAGTAATAAAGAGCGAGGCAATACACGGCCAGGCAGTACAGAACCAGGCATTACAGAGCCAGGCAGCACAGAGCCAGGCAGTACAGAGCGAGGCATCACAGAGCCAGGCAATACAGAGCCAGGCAGTACAGAACCAGGTAATACAGAGCCAGGCAATACACGGTCAAGCAGTACAGAGCCAGGCACTGCAGAGCCAGGCAATACAGAGCCAGGCAATAACGGCCCGGTATTACAGAGCCAGGCAGTACTGAGTCAGGCTATGAGCAACCAAGCAACTCTCAGCCTGTTAATGATGAGTCAGGCATTGCACAGTCAGGCACTGCAAAGCCATGCAGAACATAGCCAGGCTATGCACAACCATGCAATACAGGGCCAGGCATCGCAGAGCCAGGCAACGCAAAGCCAGGCAACGCAAAGCCAGGCAACGCAAAGCCAGGCAACGCAAAGCCAGGCAACGCACTCTTGATAACCAGCCCGTGGGACTCAGTCAGTGATGATGGTGGAAAAATCTTATATTCTCCCACCAAAGTTGATAATCGATTGATGTGCCCCATGCCTCTGTCATTACAGCACATTTTTGCTCACCTTTTATTCCCGTCCAAGCCTTTCAATGAAACAACCTCTCCGGTATCACTGAGTCGACATGAGCATTGGTCCACCTTTTCGCATGTTTGACCCACAGTCCCATCCACGGCGATAGCCATCGCAAGCAGGACCAGCAACAGGGCAATCCGGTGCCACTCCCCGCAAACCATGGATCTACGATACGCACCCATTCTCACTTTGAACTGCTGCCGCCACCCGCTCTGCTCGTTCGTGACGTAGCGGGATCCAAGAGAAGCACAGCTCACGGGACGGGAAGCGTCGCTTGGAACACTGCCTCTCGTCGCGAGATAAGCCGAAACCTAACTAAATGAATCGATCCACTTCCTGCACGGTCTCCAGGAATTCACCCTAAAGACTTGAGAACTGCGCTAAACGTGGCTTGATCCTCGCCTCGAGCGGTAGGTACGTGTTGTTTTCTCCCAGCCTCACCACCAAGTTTCCGTTCTTTCAAATTCTTTCGAATACAGAAACAATCGAGAATGGCTTTCTGCACACCTTCTTGATAGTATTACAGCAACGGACTGAGACAAATAATAATAACAATACTTGCGCTCGGCCTGGCACGAATGTCCTGTCGATTTTCGCAGGACTAGGCTGGACTGAGTCTGTGTATGTCATAATCATCTCGGCGTCGTTGCCGTTGGTGCCGTCAAGCGAAAAATCTTTCACCGCGCACGAGAAAGCAGAAAAAGTGGCACAAGGCCGGCACATGACTAGTCCGCGGATCCAGCCTTGCCTGACCGGTCACCTGGTCATCGTGACTCGCATGACCACGAGCCCTACACTGACAGAGTCTGTCTGTATCAGGGAGTCATAACACACGACATAAGCGGATGATAAGGAGGGTTTACGTATAGTCAAACCTCGTTAGGACGAACACTGATAAGGCGAACTTTCCATTAGTACGAACTAGGGCCAATCCTATGGTTGGCCAGGCATCATATCCAGTCAAAATTATTCGTTTACGACGAACTCCAGTATGGCGACCTTTCGCGAAGACGAACTATTTTCAAGTGTGATTTGAATAAAATCAGCGCGTAGTACGAACTTTGGGTGCGTGCGCGTGCGCTGGCTGTCTTTTTTTCTTTCTTTTTTCGATAGCCGGGTCCATACATGGATTGTACGTACATAGATCTACGTAGCTACTTAGTGAATCGTAGTAGACGCACTGACGTGCGTGCTTTCTAGGCCAAGCTTCAGCGTACACTGCATGTTCGCGTCGTTGATCGAGTTGTGAAGTGTTTTTTGAAGCAAAGAGCGTTGATCCGTAGAGGGTAGTGGCGTACCTGCGGATGCCGAAAACTCGGCCTCTACTGGCTCCGACCGAGTCTCACATGCACACGAACCGTGAACTTTTTTTTCTAAAGTATGGATGTTGAGATGCTGTGCTTCACATGCACACTCGTAATCACTCATATTTTGCCTATGGTTTATCGTAATGTATTTGTTTGTATTTTTTTTTATTTTTTTTTATTTTATACGAAAGTCCACTATATTCCCGAATATGTGCGAGAAGTGGTGGCGGGGCCAGGCTGCTCTGCCGACCTCAAAGGTCTCGGCGTCTACGCAGACAAAGCGCGCCATAATGCAGTAAAACCATGTAGAGAGGAGGAAGAGGGGAAATGAATAATAGTGAGAAACAAGGACAATGGGTAGATGGTCGTGAGAGAAGCAGAGTGAAAGACAACGTCACATTGTGGTAAGGGGGGGGGGGGAGGATGCTAGTGAGGCACTGGTCTAAACCGTTTCATAGGGCGTCGGTGGCTGCTTGCCAGTTCAGGTGCAGCAGATACTTGTTGCATTTTTCTTTGATTAATTGGAGCTGGCTGGGTTGCGGCCGTGCTGGTAGAATGGTCGCTGGTAGGCTGTTCCACAAGGGAATAATGCAGTCTGGGTAGGAACCCTGGAGGCTGCTACGAATGCGCACGGGCAGCGTCGACTTCAGCTGGAGTGGGTGGCAGTGGGCAGTCACCGTGGCTAACCTAGTGGATCGACCACCCACTGGGCGGGGATTGGCTGGAGGTGGGAGGACGGGCTTCAGGGGGCTTGTTGTTGGAAGGTAAGACAGCTTGAACGTGAACGAAAGCGCAGCAACCAGTCGGCGGTGTTTCAGGCTGGGGAGCCAGGCGCCTGGGCCAATCACCTTCAGTGCCTTGTGCTGGATTTTGTCCAGTCTGGATGTACCTGACCCCATCCACACCAGGCAGCAGTATTCCATTGTTGGCCGCACGAAGCCTTTGTAGACTGCCGTGCGGCCGCTGGAGTCCAACAGGGGCGCAACCTTTCTCAGGAAGTGTAGGCGTTGGGCAGCCTTTGAGGCCACGGCCCGGAGGTGTGCTGCGTAGGACAGTTGCGAGTCGAATGCTATGCCCAGAAGTTTAATTTCCTTCTCTTCAGGAACAGTCACTCCATTGAAGAGCACTGGTGGGAACGCTGGGGGAGGCTTGCGGTGGTCGATGATGAGGGCCTGAGATTTGGATGGCTCGAAGGTGACCTTCCACTTGGAACCCCAGTGGGAGACGGCGTCCACTGCTTCCTGGAGTTGTGCTGCAGAGTCGGATATGCTGGCGGTGGCAGAGATGCACTGATACAGTGTTGTGTCATCTGCATACGTGGCAAGCTCAGCACCAGCAGGCAAGGTGTCCTCGCAGTCATTCACGTACAGGAGGAATAACGTTGGTCCAAGGATGCTACCTTGTGGTACCCCTGCTTGGATATGGTGCAGGGAGGACTCTTGGCCGCCCACAACAGCCTGCAGGCGCCGGTTGTGCAGGTAGCTTTCCAGCCATCCGAGAAGCGGGCCGTCTAGACCGTACACGGAAGCCTTATGCAGCAGGCCAGCATGGCTGACTTTATCAAAGGCGCCTGCTATGTCTATCGCCAAAACATGGGCGGCTCCTCCTAGGCCGGCTGCTCGGGACCATTCACAGTGGAGCTTGGTTAAGACGTCGGCTGTGCTCAGGCCCTTTCTGAACCCGAACTGTTTCGCAGAGATGACATTGTGGGACTCCACGAAACTGGTTATCTGACGATTGACAATTGTTTCCATCACTTTGGATATGATAGACAGCAGAGACACAGGTCTGTAGTGTTGAGGCAGGTTCTTGGATTTCTTCTTGTGAATGGGTGTGACTCTAGCTGTCTTCCAGGATGTCGGCATAACCATGCTGTAGAAGCTAAGGGAGAACAGTTCGGAGAGTGGCTTACTTAGGGGGTCGGCACACATCTTCAGAACTCGCGCGGGAATGCAATCCGGTCCAGTAGCTTTCGATGCATTTAGGCGGCGGAGTTCTCTCTTGACAGTGGCAGGGCGGAACCGAACCGTTGAGAGCTTTTCAGCCGTGCGCTTTGCAACGTGGGGGAAATCAGTCGCTGGTTGGTTCGCGGGGAAGTCGTCGGCGCCCAGGCTGCACTTTGAGGCGAAATACTGCCCAAAACACTCAGCTTTTTCGGCATTCGATACGCATTCCAAACCAGGCTGCGGCGTAAGAGTTGGGATGGACGTGTTTCTGCTGCTGCCACCTGCTTGCTTGATGGTAGACCACCACGAGCGGTCACTCAGGCTAGCTTTGGAGAGCTTAGTACGCAGGGTAGCCAGGCGGGCCACCTTGGCATGCTGGAGGATGTCATTACAACGTAGAGTGGCTGCTGAGGCTGTCTGCCGCGCTGCTGTTGACTTCTGCCGTCTGGCAGTAGCCCAAGCCCTCTCTTTTGCTTTTATGGCATCCGTGCACTCAGGGGTCCACCAAGCTGGATCCGTCGGCCGGGATGTGAGTTGCCGGGATGGGATGAAACGTGACATACCCTGGAGGATAACTTCGGTGATGTTGGCGCACGACTCATCAGCGCTGGTGGTGAAGGCAGTTGACCAGTCATAGGCTAGGAAAAAGTGACAGAGGCGGTTCCAGTCTGCTTGGTTGTACCGCCAGACAGTGCGTGTGGTTTTTGGTTCACGGAACGCAGAGATAGGGAAGTCCATGGTGAGGACAGCGTGGTCAGAGGACCCCAGTGGGGCATGGCATTTCACCTGAACGGGTTCACTGAAGTCAGACATCACAAGGTCCAGGGTGTTGTCTCCACGTGTGGGGATGTTGACATGTTGCTCCAGGCCATGAACATAGCAGAGTTCCTCGGCTGTTTCTCCTGCCGAGGTAGTCTTGGTGCTCCCTAGCCATGCTGCATTGTGGACATTGAAGTCCCCTGCGAGGATAACATAGTCACCGTGGCTGCGGGCCTCACCTAGGTGGGTATCAAGGTATTCGATCAGCTCGGTGTCTGTCCCGGCTGCGGAGCCTGATCGGTAGAGTGCACAGATAACAATCTTGGACCGGCTAGCTGTTGATACAGATATCCATATCACTTCGTGGTGTTCCGTGCTGAACCGGTCCAGGTGCTGGAAGGCCATGTTTGATTTCACCCAGATGGCAACTCCGCCTCCATGAGCGGTTCTGTCATGTCGGATTGGGGGAGCGTATCCGGACAGACAGACCTCACTGTCAGTGACCTTTGCGGTTGAGAATTTTGTCTCCGTAACAGCGATGACATCAGGTGAGGAGCACTTTGCAACATGTGCAAGTTCACCAAGCTTTGACTTTAGGCCAAAAGCATTGGTGAGTAGGAGCCTGAGGAAGCGCTTCATTGGTGACCATGTAGGTCATGTTGTGGCGCAGATCCGTTTGATCTCTTCAGGTCTCCAGCCTCTGGTGGGGAGAGGTGGGAGTTTCTCCGTTTTTGGCCACCAGGCAGTGGAGTGGAGATGATGTCTGCCGGTGGTGGTGGCGGCGGTGGTGGCGGCGGCGGCGGCGGCGGCGGGGAAGAGGTTGAGCCCTGCTGCTGTTGTTGCTGTTGCTGTTTAGTCAGAACACTGGCAGAGGTGCTGTTTCTGCTACTGTGGCAGCGACTGCTGGTGCTGCCCTCAGGGCTGGTTTCAGAGAACCTCCATGGCCTGCAGTATAGGGGTCTTGGCCAGAAGTTGGGCGCTGTAACTGTGGAGAATGAAGTGGCATCGATGGTCACTCTGGCGGAAGCACGCCCACTTTCTGACAGCCATACACTGCAGGTGTGGACAGGAATAGAGGCGCCCAGAAACTCACTCCTGGTTTTGATAAATTGCCTGAAGTGGCTCTCAGTGCTATCTGTGGCGATATTGCCCACGTACACTACGGCACGCTTGTTCTTGGGTGGTTCTGAGGAGACAAGCTTCCATGAGTCATCCTCGATAACATGGAAGATTGGCTTGCCGTTGGACTCTGTCACATCTGTCTGAGACTTGGACTCTGTCACATCTGTCTTGGGCTGTGACTCAGAACACTCTGCCTTTGCCAAGCCACCGCTTCCCTGGGCCTGGGGGCCGTGGGGCTTTCGATCCGCGCTTGTGACGCCAGTACGTGATACGGTGCTGCTGGGTTCCATGTGAGCTGCAGCTTGCTTGGCGCTGCGTTTGCTGGCACTGGTACTACCGGTACTACTTTGCGTACGATGTACGTCTGCTTGAACTGGTGAGCTGTTTCTCGTCGTCTTCGACTGCATCCAGGCAATGGCGGAGT